AAATTGCTAACATTAAAATGAAGCTAAATTAAAATAGACGGAGAGGCTGGTATTTGTCGGAGGACAGGTCATGATCTATTTTGAGAATGGTATGAAATGAGGGAACGAGGTCATAGTCTTGTAAATAAATAGGAACCTCTCAGTCATGTCTCTGCTCGTTGCTTTAAGATTCTCATTTGTATCTAGCTCTGAGTTCAGTTGGAATAAAACGCCACTTTAAGACCGTCACATTCAGGACGAGTTGACGAATTTGTGTCGAGTGGCTCAGATTGATCCTTATCGCCAGAGTATGGTTTCCAATTGTTACGAAGTTTTTGGAGCAGATTTGCTATCGCAAACCAGTGTGATTCTGCAATGCGATAGCTTCCTCTCTCGTCTATTTATGGGGTTCACATTCATCGAGGCAAGCAACAAGAGCCTTGTTAATATTAGTGCTGCGAGAAACATCAACCCAAACACTGCGGTAACGGATTTCAGCACGGGGAGAGGATAATCGTGCAGCATTAACACTTCAAACGTGCTCAAGATTCCAACCATTAAAGTGGATGCGGAACACATCCCACATGTCATAGTTTGTAAGAAGACTTCCGATGTATTCGTCAAGACAATATTTCAACCAATAATCTCGTTCGGCTTTTGTTGCAATTTAAATTTCAAAGTCTCTTTAATCCCAGCTTCCCTTTTTAGCATCAGCCATTATTCCAGTACTGGTAATATTTCGGATGGAAATGGATCTGACTTAACACGGTCAGGAAGAGTTAATTAAAGATCGATTGGTAGAGAGGTAGAAGAAGAGATATCCGGAGAGTTTTAATATAGAGGTTGAAGATGTTCGAGATATTCGAAGTGCTTGTGAGGTGAGAAGTTGGATAGAGGTGAGGTTCTGATGTTTGGATTTTTTATGATCTTGTGCGTGATGGACACAAATCTGGGCTGAATGTAGGGGTTCAGAGAGAACTGGTTCGAAATAGCTTTATAGATATCGTTAGGAGAAGAGAATATAACCTGGGCTAAATGTGGAGATTCAGGGAGGTCTATTTTGAGCTTCTCTCTTGGAAATGGTACCGCATCCTGATCTGTGATATCACTCATCAGTGTTGGTAGGACTCGGTGGCTACAGTTTCTAACATATGCATGAATAGTATGACTTTGGATTGTCATATGATTCCTTTTGTGGCTTTCGTAGCACAATGATCACCGATTCTTTGGAGCCTTTGACATTGTAAGATTTGGATAAACAAGCATTGAACAATTTTTCTAAATCTTTGCTCAGAGTCAATCTTCAGTTTTTAGGCAACCAGTTTGGAATCGCATCTGGACCATGAGTCTTTTCGCTTTCTAGCTTTCCTATGGTATGTTGGATCTCAGCTTCGATAATTGTGTTTGATATTGTCACGGTTCGGGAATTGATGCATAAGCAATCAGATACTCGAAAGTAGTTTATAATTTTTTCAGTGACTAACTATTGAAACATTACTTCGACTATTTATACATTTGTGAAAATATCTAGAAAACTCGTTCTTGGCTGATATCTACTTCTAGCACATTCCACTCACAGTAGTTCCCGGTCTTGCCACCAATTTCTATAATATTCCAGTTACAGTTGAACTGATTTGGAATAAAGCAGAAATCAGATGGGTCCCAGGACACACGAACGTGAAGGCAGACAAAGTTTCTTGGGCCGCACTAAAATCATTTCCGAACAGTCAGAAACAACCCAGCTGTATCAGTCTTGCTTACCTTCGGAGTCTTATGCAATGGCGACGACTAGAATTGATAGACAAATGGTGGTCATCTGCTTGTCCAGCTCGTTACCAAGATTTAGACCTGCAAATGCGACAATGTAGACCCCTAGAACTATCGTTGCCACGGAGATTACTACACGAACTCTTAGCTGCGGGAACAGGGTGCGGGGATTTTGTGCTGTATCACCGTCGCTTCACGCACGAAGATACAAACCTGGTTTGTAGCTGTGGGAGATACAATATTCTGACGCGTAAACTTGGAAAGGACATGAGCTTAGATTTTATTCCTTAGGCAACTCCTCAGAAATAAAGGAATTGAGAAGTTGATAAATTTGCATGGGTTACAGGCTGCTTCGGTAGACTGGACGCATCCCAGTTCTGGGCTAAACGCAAGGACGGATTTTAGGATAGATGCCAGGGCGAATACGCTGGCGGAGGTTCTTCCAGAGCCAAGTTCAGTCAAATTTCGCAACATCAAAGAAGTTGGCCCACGAGGCAATGATTCAAATTACTCCACCACGTCGTTTTTTCGCTCCCAACGAGTTTGACTCCTACCTACGCCTCATCAAGTCTACAAGTACGACCTAGTACATCCTCATCCCAATGATCACACCTCTCTTCGACTTTCTCTGGCCTCAGCTGGTCGCCAGATACACGCCCACGCCGATATTTATACCCGACGGAGGAAGCAAGGCGTGGCGCACAAATCTGAGAGATAGCTCTTTGGGATGGACGTGAGAGGGATTACGACAAGTTGACAAGATGATGCAAAGGAAGGATATTACCTCGACGGGCGTGAAATTCCCAATTTTGGCAAGGAGTTTTACGAATTGAACTTTGTGCGCGCCAAGACTTCGCTTGCAAGAGTGCAGCTGACACTATAAATACAAGCCAACGATGGAAGGTGTTGTGGTCCGCCTCCTGGTGGTGTCCTCCGGTATAGTTTGAGTGGCCTGGGCATCTAATCCACTTGGGAAGGAGACACCTATACCAAATATCTTGCGGGAAAAGGTAATAGACGATGAAGGCATGTCTGAATAAGTCAGGGTTTTTGAGACGTTCCCCTGGGTGGGTATTCACGGATGAGGGTTGACTTGGGGTGAAGAAATAGCCACCAGAACTTCGCAGTGGTACGTGCAAATGAAATCCGAGGCATGGGTGCTCTTCCTTTACGTCGAATCATCTATTCTGTACTTTTCTTTGATATTGTGTCATAGCTAGATAGCTGCATACGCAATTAAAATCTGATGCAAAAAAAAAAAGATAAGAGAACACAGCGTAAATGATGGCTCACTACTCCTCACTGATTTACTTAATTATATTCTTACGAAGTTTTTTATGGTCTTTATTGATACCTTATTATATATAAATAAATAATCAATTCACTCTTCTCCGCTCTGCTTCAAGTGATCTTCTATCTCTTTTCAACATGTCCCCCCCCCCACACTGCGGATGTTGCATATTAAAGTTCCCGACTAGAATATGTTGGCTCTCTTGGGATAGAATCTCTGGTAACTACCCGAGTGTCTCTTTTTCTAGGCGGCTTTAGTGTAGTGGGGGTCACTATTTTTTTATTTTCATCGTCCTTTCTTTTTTTGTGTTTATTGTCTTATTGAGTCTATGACTATGTAGAGATATGCAGGTCCTTTCTGCTTACAGGCCGAGAGTATCTATGCCTCGGGTAGTGTACTCCCTACTTTGCCTCCCTCACGACTTCTTTCCGGCAGTAATACCCCCACAGGTCTTCATTCGAGTACATACTAAGAGGAGCCGTTATCCCGTCATTATCTCCCCTCTCCGGCCAACGAAACGATGGCCATTCACGGGTGTGTAGCATTCTACCTTGGATTTTAATCCGGCTAGAAAACACACCTTCCACATTTCCCGAACGATACAACACGCAACTCCACAACAAATCTCCAAGTTTACTGATCGCCCAATGATTGGCTCAACTTCGAAATCTAGACCCTTGCTACGCGCCAACTAGCGAAAAAGGAATAACGGCTCAAAGTTGATGGTGCCTAGTTATAGATAGACAACTTTTTGTCGAAGACAATGTGTGCCTACTCAGATGGCTCATGTGAGGCCCCGTGAAATCTGCCGAGATATGTGGCCTATATATAAGGAACATTAAGGATAGAATTATCGCGGCAGCTACGCCGCGAGCAGAAATGCAGAGGTTCAAGAGCTCTGCAAACGTCAGATCGTTGGCGGCTAGCGGCCCCTTCACACACATCCTCAGTGGGTTGAGGCTGCCCACCTTGAAGGTAAGGTAGAGTAGGTCTGCGCAACTCATAGTCGATCGAATCACGGACCAATAACGGGGCAACAAAGGAGAAAGCGGGGAAATGTATGCAGACCAGCTAGTTTAAATGTCTCTGAAACATCTCTCAAAAGTCTCCGATAAAGCTCTTTACCTACGGTCAGGTCAGGGATGTCGGTACAATATTATGTCCCTCGAATATATAATTTCAAGAGAAAGTTGGAGGGCAAAGACCGGAAAATAAAGCCGACTGGAACAAAGACCTATATTTATTTATGAACCCAACGTTACTGCTAGCATAGATGTCTTGAGAAGTTGAATACGAGTTCATTTGCGGCTGGGAGAGGCGTTCATAGCATTTTACAGGTCGTAGACCAGCTCCAAACGGTAATCATAATTATATCTAAGGTAAATTATGTAAGTGCCCACTCGGAATGGGGTGTTTGAGTAGAAAAATACAGACACTACGAAGTTTCTCCGGAAAAAATTTATCGAGGCCATTCACTATGAGAAAAGAGGCAAGATGCAGGGTGATCGGACAGAATATCAAAGGTTACCTTTTGTTTCAGTCATATAAAATTCCTGGCTGCATGAAACCGGTAATATTGGTAGTAGTGTGTTCCCTAGCAGCATAAACCCATGTAGAGCATTCTGTGTGAATGACTTTGGATAGTTACATAGACTCTTTCAAATCAAACGCAAGTATCACTTGTCTCATACATTGGGTTACTGCCAGTCTAGGATAAATTTCTAGCCAGTGTTAGATGGTCATCTGGTAGCTAAAAAGGTTCCATACAATAACTGTCCGACTGAGATATTGAAGGAAGGCATAAAATGCTCCATATTCTCCGTGGTGAAACGATCTGAAGATTCCCCTTCAAATAGAAAAACGCCGCATAATTATGCTTTCTCCCTTACGCCAGTTATCAAATACATTTACTACGCCGTTTTTATATAAAGCAGCTACAAGCTATAAAAACTATCTCTTATATCTAGTCTTCGGACAAAGTATCGTCATCGCTAAAATCACTGTGCTTCTTCCTATTATGTTCTGAAATATCTCGAAATGTGCTCCAACTCAAGATAAGGAAGGCTGCAATGATCAAGAGCCCGCCGATGATAGCTGCGAAAGATAAAGGTACTCCGGTCCAAAGCCAATCGACAATAGCAACTAAGAATATTGTGAGTAAAGCTGCTACGGAACTCAATACGGGACTCGTTAAGCTAATTAGGACCAGGAAACTACCCGAAAATGTCGCATTAGATAGTACGGAAATAATTAGCAGCCAAGCAGTATCTCCCCGAGGAAGTTCAAACTTCTCAACTCCGGTAATGTGAAGGATAGGAATTGGAATCCAGAGAATTGTTAGAGTAAAGAATCCAATCAGCGAGCCGAAGGTATTTGCGAAAATAATTCCTCTTGTCACGCTTGTGCCTTCTGGTGGGCATGCCAATCTTTTGTATAGAACCTCGTAAAATCCATATAGTACACTGCCGAACCCAATGATCAGGTTGCCTGCAACCCGACTATTAGTTTCGACCGAGGGAGCACCATCGACTAGCTCTTCTGAGTTGGTACTTGGCGCTGCATCACCGTATGCAACAACCAAGACTCCGATTATTGCAACTGCTACAGCAAATAACTTGTCAAATCGGAGCTTTTCTTTAAGAATAGGTATACTAAAGGCGTATGCAAAGAAGGCTGAGCAGTTATAAATTGCTGTGAGGTCTGAGGGCGAGGTCATGCTAATGGCGATATACCAAGAGCCACCGGCGATAGTTAGGGTACAAGCAATTAATGTTGTTATCTTTACAAAGTATTTGACTGGCGAATGTTGGGTGCGCGAGAGGTTTAGTTGTTGGGTCTCTACCATTTGTGCAGTCGACCGTAGGAGTTCCAAGTGCCTTCGCCAGAAGGTTTTCCACGGTAGATTCCAATAGAAAAGTCGGGAGATAAAGAGTTGGAATAGGCATAGCAAGCTCCATGATCCGTGGGTTAGATACCTGGCATGAAGTCAACCGGAGTTCTCATATTAAGCATCATTTCATTCGGTCACGTACAGCATGCAATAAGCTTTATTCCAGCCCAGCTCGTGTTGTATGTACACCGCAGTCTCCGTCTGAATCACGAACGTAACTAAGCTTATTCCTAAGCAAAATGCCGCACACGTGTACTTCTTCCAAGCAACCAGCTTTGCCTTCCTCTCCAAACTTTTTCTCCTTAATGTATTGTGGGCGGAAAATGTAGGAGCCCGGTGAGTAAATGACTGATTCTCCAGACTGCTTACCGCACCCACTTCAGTAGTGTCATCTTTGTTCAGGAGAGGCTGGTTTAATTTGCCGTCAGTGAGTCTGTGAATAGATGAAGTCCTGCTGCCCATAACTTCACGCTCCTAGCCACAGAAAGGCGTTTTGAGGGCTTGAAGAGACTATCTTTTTACACTGACTGCTGCTTCGTCTTTTTCCAATGACCAGTGACTCGTCGATATTGAGCTGTAGCCTCGAGGCGTAGGGAGACAGCTCTGATGAAGATTACCAAACCACATGCGCATTTGAATTAGTAAGTAACGAGGCATACAGATATGAATGAAAAGACTAGAAGTACAAAGGATTGTTTAATTCAAAGTGTGTCCGGTTGAGAGTTGCGGGAACGGCGACAGGGAAAGGCCAAGTTCCTGCTTTACAGTGAGGTGGCTAAGGTAAAAGGAGACAAGCTCACTGAGTAAGTAGGGGCTCTTGGTGTCCGTCCCATCCACACAAACCAGCTCCTTGAAAAAAATCTTCTCTATTTTATCGCCAGACAAGTGAAATTTGGTTACAGAGTTACCCTCTACACTAACCTGCACAAACAATTACATGCGCTCCATCTACAGCATTTTTAACTAATTTTTGGGACAGCAATGGGAACACGAGGTCTGGTGTCGGCTCCTCAGGATCTCAATAATGAGTCTCCACACAAAGTACTCTCTTACATGCATAGATGGGCAACCCTTTGCTGGTAAGCTGCTGATCGTCACCATTTTTGGGATGGAAGGGTTGGCCGCAATCATTAGGCCGAGTCGTATCCCTCTCAAATATAAAACCACGCATCTAGTCTTCTGAAACAAACGAGGTTTCGTCAGTGCCTGCAGATTTTCATGGTTATGAGGCGGGAGCGATCAATGCGAACTTCTATCTACATGTCAGATTCTGACATGAACGCCTAGACTTGATGCATTCTTCACAGGTCTAGCCCATATCTGGGATAGGACTCTCTTTAAGGAACAAGACTGCTTGCAAGATTGTACACCCATCTATCTACATGTGAGAAAAATGCATGCCTTGCTCGCCTACTCAGTTGAATGAGCTGTGGGAATCTTAGGTGATTAGGAATAGCCCGTGACCCGTAATAAGCCCTTCTACTCCTCCAGAGAGATGTATCTCGCCCTTCAGCGTCGTGGGGCGGTAAGGGCTGAAATAGTTCTCCAGATTGTGTTTAGCAACAGGAATTGACTAGGTCATTTGGAAGATCCCCCTTTCCAGATACAGGGGCATGGACATGCCTGACCTATCTCCATAGATCGTCGGACTGGGGTTAGAGCAACTTTGAAGCATTTTACCTTCATCTAGAATTATTAGTTGTTCGCTCGCATCACGTGAGAAATAAACAGCGCTGACATATCAGCATAGAAACTATGCGACTCTGCTAGCAACTACAGAATCGTGAAAGATTCAACACTAGTATGCCAATTGTTGCACTGAATTATCATCGACCATAAGCTTTATACCTTGCCAGTCTTGCATCAGCGTAGAATCATAGCTGATTTTCAGATGCAACGCTTGGATGCCTGATGTCAAAGCCACTTAGCTGTGTATATGACACAGAAGTCTCGAGGACACAGATTCAAGTCCATGCCGTAGTACAACGAAATTGGCCCACAAGATGCGAAGGACAATTTATCATACAGACCAATATCGGGAGCAAAAATAGCCGCGCCGAGGCTTAAAGGCTAAATACTGCTTTACTGACCAGAAATTACAACAGAAAAGGTGTCTGCTTGACAAAAAGAAGCTTGTAAGATAGCATGGACCAAGGAGTGAGAAAGCTCATGTATATTGCAAAAGAAATAGCAGCTGCTTATTCATCAGGGATTTGAATAGAATAGAATTTATGTCCTTACTGAGTCTATGACTATGAAGGACAGCTAAAACTATCTAAATAGCTTTAAAGTTTCAGGGATTTGAAGAATCATAACATTGGAAAGAAGAATGTATAATTACCGACAAAATAACAGGCAGATAAGAAATTACCTTCAACTGTACACCCTCAAATATGCACCGTAATCCTAGCAGGGCCCAAAGCAGCATTGCAGTTCAGATGAGAAGTAAGCTTGTCGGCCTTAACTCTTATCTAAACCGAGGGAAAGGTCCTTGGAGTGATTAATCCAAAATGTCAGTGTGGATATCCGTCTCAAAATGTCAAACACATGGTCCTGGCCTGTCCTCAGTGGGCAATGGGAAGGAGAGAGGTGCTTCGAAAGGCAAAAGATAGGTCATTTTCGGCATTGATGAACAGCCCAGATGATATAGAGAGAATCACAAAATGGATGCTGGCCAAAGGCTGGTTTGAACAAGTCCGGCTTGCAGGAGAAGTAGAAATAGCATTGGACGAAAAGATGAGACGGTGTGGCCAAGGATAAGACGGATTTCACACTGTATAAACAGTGTAAACGCACTTCCTGCAGGAAACCTCAGAAAACCAATAGACACGAGATAGACAGTTTTAGGGGGGTTTTACGGCATTTGGTTCCTGTGTAAATATTACAGCTAGATATACCAGAACGGGCTAAATGAAATCAAATCAAATGTACTAAATAAAAATTAAATTTCCTCAGTTATTGATCTGAGAGGTATTCAACCGGTAAATATTATCAATCGGCCCTCTCAATATATATAGGCATAAAAATGACATGTCTCATGTCAACCTTTAAGTAGAGCTAGAGAATTGCGTTTTTATTACCAAAGTCCTACATGGCTTTGGAACCATACGGACTCTACACGGGTAAATATTGAACTGAATGGCTATTGATCGCGGGCAATATATCAATGATCTTTCGAAGAACAAGAGAGGCAGGGAATACTGTAAAAAGTGTGGCCTGGGCCAGAGAGATGCCCAATGTGCTAGACAGTCTATGGCTCAAGCAGTACAATTAAAAAAAATCACATCATACGGACTCCAACGACATTCTTATCTCGTGTCACTCAACCGGCCTGCTCCGGTTACCGAATGCAGTTGACGGCAAATTCCACAGGGGTCATGCAGGGCATTCGGAAGACCCTGAGAGCCGGCTGAAGCCCTGCCTCGACTCAGACTCGAATACTCAGCCCTCACTCAACAACTATGAAATGAAGAGAGAGGTGAGAGTTATTCACCGCACCGCCTTTCAACGCCAAAGTGAAGCAATGAAAATATTGGGAACACGTACATGCTCGCGCGGGAAATCGCTGCTCACTCATGGCGGGCGTCGCGAGCTGTCGTCGACCGCAACACGCCACATCACGACGACGACTCCGCGGGCGAATATCCCGCAATCTGGCCATAGCCTACTGCATACTCGCCGCCTACTCGCCATATCTGGGCCGGACGCGCTGCGCTACCTTCAAGGTGCCTTGACCGCCAACATAGAAGCAAATACTTCGCGAGCCTTTTTCGCTGCCTTCCTGACGGCGCAGGGTCGCCTCTTACACGATGTCTTCATCTATCCTTACGCGCAAAACGAGAAAATCTTGAATGGGCATCAAGCATGGCTAATTGAGGTCGACTCCAACCAAGCCGAGAACCTAGCCAAGCGAATCAAGCGCTACCGGCTCCGGTCAAAATTTGATCTACGAGTGCTGCCATCATCGGAAATGAAGGTGTGGTCTGTGTGGAATGAATCCGTCGAAAATACACAGGATAACCCACTCTCATCTGTGGATCGAGGCGCTTTATATGCTCATGAGGTGGCTAGTTGCATAGATCGTCGTGCCCCGGGAATGGGGCATCGGCTCTTGCTTCCAGGAAACATGAAGCCCATCGTCGATTCAAACGAGTGCAGTGAGTCCGAATATCGTGTGAGAAGATACATGAGGGGCGTGCCAGAGGGTCAGGATGAACTTACCAGTGAGCAAGCATTGCCGCAGGAGAGTAATATTGACATAATGGGTGGCATTGACTACAGAAAGGGATGCTATCTTGGACAGGAGTTAACTATCAGAACACATCATACTGGCGTGGTCAGGAAGAGAATTTTGCCTCTTCAAGTTTACGGGGTCAACGAAACAGAGCCTCTTGAGATGGTCTACGATCCGCTACAGAATTTCAATAGTGAGAGTATTCCAATAAATACTAACATATTGCCATGTGAAAAGAAAGGAAGGTCTGCTGGGAAATGGAAGGCTGGGATCGGTAATGTTGGGTTAGGCCTCTGCAGGCTATCTACTATGACAAATGCTACTGAAAAGGATGAAGTGAGTAATTATCAAGTGGGGGATGAGTTTAGCTTGAGCTGGTTCCACGAAGAATCCTCCAAAAACTCTGTTAAAGTAAAAGCGTTTGTACCTTTGTGGTACCCAAACTCTAAAAATTAATCTATGGCATGGACACACATAATACATGAGTGAGAAACTAAGTGAATAGAAGCATGTGAGAAATTTTATTTTCAAGTAGTGTCGTATACTTTGACTTCTTATCAATCGGCGGAGCGAAAGTTGTTTACTTGCATCCCAAAACCGAGGTTTTGGGAGGAATTATAGAAGCTCGAGCGTCGTTCACACTGATTTTATATGTGGATCAAACATTAAGATCAGTAACTTTGTTAGAGTCTTTAGCGTTTTAGAGATTCACTAGAATTTGACAGATTGTCTAGGCTTGGATGCGATTCGAGTAAAGAATATCGTAACAGATGACAAATTTGCTTGTAATTTCCTCATTCTTTAGCCAATACTCATATTGTGATTGTTGGTAGCTGTTTTCTGATTTGAATTCAACTGACAATATCTCAGAAGATAGGAGTCTGTCTGTATGTTTATTCTCGCATTGATAAATTTCGTAGTTGCATGTTCCACGAGCAATTATTTCCGTATACATGAGAGCACTGGACGATCTTTTAATCGGTTGTTCTTAGGACCAGGCTTTAGCTGTGTACCAAAATATCCTGGGTTGCAGAGGCCTCAGCGGCACCGTGGAATAAATTGTGTCCGAGAAGTTTAGAGTTGTCCATGGAACTTGTACTACTAGTTTATCCAGTATTATCGGCAAGCGTTATATCTACAGGTTATCTGAAAACCCGAGCTAAAAGTCGGGTTTCTTGTGTCAGGCACAGGCGTGAATCTGGAATTATGATGAATTGGCATCAAGTCTCCCGTATAAATCAAACTCCTTCCAGCTCTTGCTTGCTTTCCTTGGATTGTAATCGTGATTGTTGTGCTGCCTTCAACCTTGCCATGGTTACTGAAAAATCTGGTTTTCTTTCTGACGATGACTTATGGGCTGGGGAATTTTTTTTCGATGTAGCGGGCTCTTCTGTGGAATTTGGCTCCTTTAAAGTATTCAAATCTTTTTTCAATGAGGCCGTTTTATCCTCTACTGCTACTAAAATTTTAGTAATGAAATTATTAGTGATTGGTATTGATTTAGTACTTCTCTTGACCTTCCTTTCTGCCCTACGCTTGGCTTTTGCATCCGCAACTTCTCGTATCTTTTTTTCAAGTCGTTCGATCTCATCTTCTTCAGTTTGTCTCGCAAGAGGCTCGGCCATATGAGCTGGCGTGGTGACCAGCTTTTCAGGTGCCTGGGTTGGAGCCGAATTCTCTGCCACAAGCTTTGCTCTTGCAGCTCTTCTTTTTCGACCCTCCTCTGCTAATCTCTTCAACTCTAATTCTGATTCAGAGTGAATATCCTCATTCCGAGGTCTCTTAGATGGTCCCGAGAACCCATTTTTTTCTCGCGCTTCGAGATCCTCCTTCATCTGTTTTCTCTTACTGTCAAATAAATCATTTGCACGCTTCTTTAAGATTTTTGCGTTGCGGTAGTTGTCATATTGGGATTTCAAAGACGGATCAATGAGCACCTCATACGCCGCTTGGAAAAGCTCATACTTGGCTGGGTCAAAATCCTTACCTACCTTGTCAGGATGATATTTGAGAGCGGTTTTTCGATAAGCGCGGCGGATCTCTGTCTCAGGTGCTTCAAAGTGAGTTCCCAGTAAGTCATAGAAATCAACATCACTCGTGACCCATTTAATTAAGTCATTATTAGACATCTTAAGGTATCTTTTTGTGGTTTTGTTACGCGGTATTTGATTATGTGTAGGTGTCAGAGTTAAGGGTTTAAGAAAATTTAGTTGACATGGTGTTCACCAAGTGATAAGGGTGGAATATCGATCTAGTGCGATACAATTTGCTTTAGTAGCTGTAAACGGTTACATGATTTATATTTCAGCAGATGCTACCAGTTTTACCACAGAAAAAGAATAAAGATAATATAATCCTTACATTTGCCCAAGATCATAGTGGTGAGACAGCATAGTGATGAATTTTATCCAATGAGAGTGATGCATCGTTATGCAATTCCCCGAGGATAATTCAGGGCACATTACCATCTTCAATCATAAGGCAGACATGTTCCGTTAAGGCCGAAACCTGGAGGATTCTAATATAAAGTACTGTGTGAGATAGAAATCGAAAGCTGAACACCTATCAGTGGTGTCCCATACGAATCTCTAACCCTCAATGTAGAGTCTGCAGAGCCTAGATTGTCGAAATGCATCAACGGAACTGATTTAACTAGGTTCCCAAAAGATAGTCTTCCTGTAAGACATACGATTATCAAGAAGACAATGATGCTGGGAAGGAATAATCTTGCTATACCAAATGCTACGAATTTAGTTAAATAAGCCCTCTTTATATCCCAACATACATTATTCACATATGGGCAAACAAATGCCTATAAAACCAGGGTATAAGACCTTTCCGCCCCCAACAAAAGTAGATTTCGACTCTTTGACAGCATCATCTATTTACATCTATAGTTCCCATAATTCTAGCCAGGAGGGAGTAGAGAGGAGATAATGAAGGGCTAAGGGCTCCTCTTAGTGTATGATCGAATGAGGACTTGTGAGGGGTGGTACTGTTTGAGGGGAGTTGTAAGGGAGGCATAGGAGGGGATATATTACTGGTATAGGTATCCTTGGCCTGTTGGCAGAGTGGACCTGCATGTCCTAAATAGTCATAGACCTAGACAGGACAATAAAATGAATTAATAATAATTAATAGCCAGGAGGGAATCCAAAGCACAAAAGTTACTAGACAACCCCATGTCCGGAGGGCAAGACTGAACACCTGTCAGTGGTGCTCTCTACGAACCTGGGAGTGAAATATTCTCCCAGAGCCAAGTTCAGTCAAATTTCGCAATATCAAAGAAGTTGGCCCACGAGGCGAAAATTCAAATTACTCCACCATGTCAATCTTTCACTCCCAAAGAGTCCGATTCTCAACTAAGCTTCATCAAGTCTACAAGTACGACCTAGTACATCCTCGTTTCAATGACCACACCTCTCGTCGACTTTCTCTGGCCTCAGCCGGTCACCAAATACACGCCCACGCCGATATTTACACACGACGGAGGAAGCAAAGCGTGGAGTACAATTTTGGGAGATAGCTCTTTGGGACGGACGTGAGAGGGATCAGGACAAGTTTACAAGATGATGCAGACGAGGGATACATTCTCGACGGGCGTGAAATTTCGAATTTTGGAAAGAGTTTTACGAATTGAGCTCTGTGCGCGCCAAGACTTCGCTTGTGAGAGTGCAGCTGACACTATAAACACAAGCCAACGATGGAAGGTGTTGTGATCCGCCTCCTGGTGGTGTTCTCTGGTATGGTTTGAGTAGCCTGGGCACCTACTCCACTTGGGAAGAAGACACCTCAGATCACATATCGTGCGGAGAAAAGTTGAAAGATGATGGAGGCATGTCTGGATAACTCAGGGTTTTTGAGACGTTCCCCTGGGTGGGTATTCACGGATGAGGGTTGACTTGGGGTGAAGAAAAAGCCACCACAACTTCGCAGTGGTACTTGCAAATGAAATCTGAGGCATGAGTGCTCCTATTATAAACTGAGTCATCTTTTCTGTACTTTTCTCTGATATTGTGTCATAGCTAGATAGCTGCATACGCAATTAAAATCTGATGCAAAAAAAAAAAAAAAAAAAAACCCCCCCCATGTCCATAAAGACTTTTGGAAGCTAATCTAGGCACCCTAACTTCTGTTACTCTCGACTAAGGCTTTCCTAGAATCCCTTCGCGACCTTCGGCTTATGCTGCTGCACGTATCTAGGGCGGGGTAGAGGAGAGACTAGAAAGGAATATATAAGCTCTTAGTTATACACCTGTCTTCTGCACGCGACCTAGCGACGTCTTCGAATTCTTCAGAAGGTCAACTATTCCTTCATATTTAATCCTGATGTCGGTATAAGGGGAGTTCCACACCCAATGGTTTTTGAGTATTTTCCCTGCAACTACACAACCGCAATTGGCCATCCTTTCGTTAGCTGGGGAAGGGGATGACAACGGGATAATGGCTCCTTTAACTGTGTATTCTATTGAAAACCTGCGGGGTTTTACCATTGCATAGATTTCGTGAAGGAGGAAAAGAGGAAGTACACTTCCCGAACCATATGTGCTCCCGACTTGTAGACAGAAAGAACCTATGGTCTATCATATATCCGAAGTCTCAATAGGAAAATAAACACAAACAAATAGTATTATCCTAGGAATAAAATTCTCATGATGTGCGCTTCGAACATGGCTAGGAAAGGATTACAGCAGTTATTTGCTGATCCTGTGAACCTTGTTTGGACGAGTGTCTGGAGGACTATGCATATAGTACCGTTGCAGATACCAATCGAGTTTTTGCCACGTCCTCACATAGTTGAGATTCCTGGTGGATTAGAATGTGTGAAAAGTGAGATCAGCTTATCTTTGTGATGGTGTAGGTTACAGGTGTCTCGTGGCTCCAAACTACCGATATATATGATAGAGCTTAAGACTAGATGTAACTTGATTTTCCATTCATAAAAGGTATCGTCTTTTCGAGAACGGCACTCCTTATCTTTGAGTTGGATGGTGCAGTGGTACACAATTCGGGCTTTGCTCCCAAGTAGAAACTAGGTAGCTTGAACACCTACCCCATCTGAGACAGGAGAAAGCTGGTTCGAGCTCAGTAAACTCACGTTCTCTCGCGGAACATTGTACTTGTGGTGTGATGAAAGCACACTCGGAGAGCCACAGGGTTTTCACGCTGTTCCTGTGGTGGGTGTGCATGGAAGATTTTATACACCGTAAGGGTGAGCCTCGAGTGGTATCTGCAAATGAAATCTGAGTGTTCTTAACGCCAAATTGAGTCATCCAACTCAAAGTACTTATCTTCCGATAAAACCTGCATGGACCTCAAGGCGCCAAATCAGGGTAATTGAATAAATTATGTATTTATTTCCTATCTTGCGCCCGGACCGGGGGACTATTCTCAACACCTGTCAGTGGTGTCCCCTACGAACCTCCAGCTCTCACTGTAGAGTCTGCAGAGCCGAGATTGAGTAACAAAATCCTCACTCTGATGGTGATTCTCGATCGCTTTCGCGGTCTGTATTGTCTTCATCCCACAACACATTCCTCTATCATCATTATCATGAAGCTAACCAAGATAAGATCAGATGGTAGGTTCGAAGCCCTTCTCATCGCCAATACTTGATCATGGAGGAGAAGCCATCCGACGAGTTACTGGAGGATACCCAGCACCCAATACGGAGATGGTGGGTTGAATTGAGCCGGCCTCGAATGTCACAAAGAAGTGAGATATAGATGAAATTGCACACCTCATGTGGTCCCGGTGTCTCGGCCTCGCCTGGCTGAGCCTGCAGGTTTATTGAGACTTTTTCCCGGCCACGCAGTTTCCACTGCTGCCATGTTTTTAGGTAGAAATTTCCGTGGAAAAGACGGTTGAATGGCTATTCATCACGGGCAATATATCAATGATCTTTCCAGGAATAAAAGAGGCAAGGAGCACTGTACAAGGTGTTGCCTGGGCCAGAGAGGAGCCCAATGTGCTAGATACTTTAAGACTCAAGTTGTACAATAAACACACCACATAAGACTGCACTAGAAGCTAGAATAATTGAGGTTATCAAGTCGGCCAGGTTATTGATACACACGTGACTATAAATTATCTACTTAGTTTTACTTCGGTAGTAACTTGAATCAATGCGCTCTACGACCTCATTGACTGAGGGGTCCTTATTTCCTTAACAAACCCAGAAATACATGTTGTGTACCCACAATACAGTGCATTGCTGTCTATCTAGAATGTTTCATAGTGTTTTACTCCAAGCTGTTACATTTTTATTCCCGTCTGCTTAATTTTTTAACCTTTTAGTGGATCCACCCTATACTAGCTATGCCAGACTTAACTGCCCATGCACGAGTAAAATGATAGATCACAGCTCTTCGTCACAAAAACATTCCTCTGATCTTTTTACCACACATTTGACACATAGCATCTCATACTCTCGTCCTCCATCTCACAAGATGAGCCGGGCAATTGGACTCTGGCTTCCATGGGAGCAGTCCTCCTTCCTCCCGCAATTCGTACTACTGTTGCGTCTGTTTACGTGTTGGTCAAGAAACTTCTACTCTCAAACAACCCTCCATTTTGCTCTCGCTATCAATCTCATTCTATCCAAGCTCATGGGGTCGTTCTGTCATTTCTTGCTCCTCCTCTGTTACAAGACTCTTTTAATCACTTTGTTTCCTCCAGAAACTTAAGCGATTCGGCTGTTGCCTTTTTATCCGCAAAGATTAGAGCTATATTCCTTTCATTACTTGTTGAAAATTTCTCTTCTCTCATCTGCTTCCACATCTTGTTTCTCTCTTTCTTCCATCTTCGCTAGTCTAGCACTAGATGTCTGGCTGCTTATCGCTCACTCCGGCCGCACCAATTGTCCTTCCGTTTTTATATACAATAGAGGTATGCAGCTGTAATGGGATGATTTGATTTTAATTGAAAATATCAGTAAGCTAGAGCTTTGCGGAACATAAAGACAGTTACATCAAATGAACATTTTTTAAGATCCATTTTATAAGTGTCCCTGGATGCTTGATTTCTTCGTCTATGTTCTGCTATGAACCATTGGCGGCATTCTGTCTATATTCTTTTGGTCACAGTCCTAGCAATGCATGCTAGGGGTGTGTATTCCTTAATACATTGC